GACTGCGCGCCCGAGCGATGGCGAGGTGGGCGCGGGCAACTCCTCTCGCCGGGCGCGTTCCACCGCTCGCAGAGTGCCTGCTCGCGAACGTCCGAAAGCGCGCTTGCCTGCCTCGACGCCATGTGTCGTGGGCCCCCCCCACGGCGGATCCAGACCGTGTGCGAGCCGTTCCTCTGCGACCAGCGGAACTCGCTCGTCTCTCCTCCCGGCCTGCCCCCCGCTCCCGCTCCTATGGGCCCGCCCGCCTCGGCCGGCCCGTGACGGCCCCCCCCCCGCCCGGCCCTGCCGCGGCCGCCCCCCCCGCGCGGGGTTCGGCGCGGCATCCGGGGGCGCGGGGGCCGGAGTTGCCAGCCCTTTTGCAGCGGGGGCCTCAAGGAGCCCAGGCCCCCGACGTCGTCGGGTGAGGTCACCGGAGGGCTAAAAGGCGAGCGCCCTTGTGGCACAGTTCTGAATACAGAGGGGGGCCCCCGCTTCAAGCTGACTACCCCCCCTCCCCTTGGAGAAGGGGTGGTGGGGGCGTCCGAAGCTCCCCCCCGCCCTCCCCCCCCCCCCTTGGGAGTGTACCACGGGTGCGCTTTCTCAGGGGTCCTCACTACCCACCGATGCCCCCCCCCGCGCCCAACCCGAAGGCCCTCCTCTTGCCCTCCATTGCCAGTGGGATATGGGGGTGTCGGGGAACACTGAGCATCACATGTGGGACCCGTACCCCCCCCCCCCCAGGCCCACCTTTTGCCCTCCATTTGCAGTGGGATGAGGGTGTCGGGGAACACTGAACACCACATGTGGGACCCGTACCCCCCCCCCCAGCCCGAAGCTTGGGTCTTTTCGGGTTAGGTTGGGGTGGTCTGCTACAGTCGGGGCCCTGAAGAAGGAACCCTTTTGGTTGGGGAGGGGCTCCGCGTTCCTTAATTGTTTCGCAGCTTGCCCAAGGTTTTCCTTCGGCTTTCGATCGGAAATCGAAGTTTGACTTGCGGAAAAAAGGGGCCTCGTTCCTTACTTAGGGTTCCTTAGGTCAACGCCCCGACTGTACCCCCCCCCAGCCCGAAACTCGGGTCTCTTCGGGGTCAGGTCGGGGTGGTCTGCCAGGCGCTCTGGCCTGGGCTCTCTTTTGGCGTGGCCTGGCCTCTCGGCCCGAGCGCCGCCTCTCCTGGGCGGCCCCGCAGCCCGCGGAGGGCCCCGAGGAGGAGGAGGAGGAGGAGGAGGAGGAGGAGGAGGAGGAGGAGGAGGAGGAGGAGGAGGAGGAGCAGGCCGAGGGGGAGGAGGAGCAGGCCGAGGCAGATGGGGAGGATCGAGACGCCGAGCAGCTCAGATGCTCGGCACCTCGGGAGCCCCGGGGGCGCAGGGGGGGAGGCCAGAGGGGGCGGGCCCTCGCCGGAGGCTCGGGAGGCCTCGGGCCTCCCGAGGAGCGTTCGGATGCCGCCGTCCCCGGAGACGCAGAGAAAAATCAGGAGGGAAAAATACACACAGACAGAATGAATCGTCGATTCCTTCGAAAATACAGGAAACTATGGGAAGTGGGGGAGGGGCGAGACAAAATTCCAAGAAAATATACGAAACTAGGGGGGATCCTGTGATTTGTCTCTAGTTCTTTGTGTGTCCCGGGGCCCCTTCAAAGAAGCTGTCCAGCAGGCGCGAGGGCCTCGGAGAAGCCCCCTCCGCGTGCTGCGGGGGCCTGCCCCCTCTCGCTGAACCCCCTTGGCCTCGCCGCCGCACGTGGTCCGGGGGCCCGCACCCCCCCCCCCCAGGCCAGACCCCCTCGAGGCACGACGCGGCATGAAACACCGGCCCCGGGGAACGGGTATCGAGCCTCGATACCCGTTCCCCGGGGCCTCGGAGGCCTCGGAGGCCTCTGGGGGTAGACGTTCTACAACAAGTCGTGACGTCGGGGGGCTGGGAATGCTGACGGGGTCGCCCCCCCCCCCCCCCTGATGGGTCCACCTCCCCTCCCCTGTGGGTGTGGGATGGTGCTGCTGTGGAGCCCTCTTCGCCGCCGTCGTCCTCGTCGTCCCCCTGTGGGCTCGGCGTGGTGTTGCAGTGCTTCCGGGAGCGGGAGGTCGTCGTCGTCGTCGTCGACGACGACGGCGTCGTCGTTCCCACTCCGACCCATCGGAGGGGGGGGCCGCGGGCCTGCAGCCCTGGAACACACTTTGGTCTCCGCCATCGCCCGCCGCCCGTCCCTGCACTTCGGGAGGAGAGAAGAGCATCAGCGGCACGCTGCCGTCGGTAGCCCGTCAGCATCTTACCCTCCAGTCGGGCATGTCCCTCCAGAGGAGGAGTATTCAATAACAGGCAAAAGTAGCCTGGGGACGATTTCTCGTGCTCTTTGAACATATGTTTGAATATGTGTAGACTCTTTGCGTGCTTCCTCCAAAATCCGCCTGTAGGACGACATGCCCGATCCGATCTTACTTCTTCGTCAGCTGCACCTTCCAACGGCAGCTCGCGGATGGACTCCCCGCGGCGGCGTGGCGCTGATGCCGTCTCTGCTCCCGGGTCACGCTTGCCTCGCCCGCTGCGGCTGCCCGACCTGCTGCAGCCGAGGCGGGAAAGGCGAGGAGGAGGAGGAGGAGGAGCTTTTGTGTTTGGTTCTTTCCCCGTCCTCCTGGCCGAAATCGTTCCAGAGGAGATTTTGAGGGCCTCGGCCTCCCCTCTCCCATCCTCCTCCGACGGCGGTCGCGCCGTCGGGCGTGCGGAGGCGCCCCAGGGGCATGACCCCTGTAGGCGCGTCAGTTAGCGGGAAGTAATTAGCAAGAGGAGGCGGAGGCGGAGGCGGAGGCTGAGGAGGAGGAGGAGGAGGAGGAGGAGGAGGAGGAGGAGGAGGCGAAGGACCCGTGTAAGCCCAAGAGTCCTCAACGATGTTGGAATCAACCTTCCCGCCGTGCTCCCTCCTCATCGGCCCCTGCAACGGTTCGTTTCCACTGAGGGGACTGCCTCGTTGGAAGACAGCCGTTTGAAGACCCTGACGCATGCCAAAACATTGTTCTCGGGATTCCAACGCCACGGATCAACGTGATTGTTGCGTGTTGGTGATCCTGAATCGGGCCAGAACGCCATTCCTGGGACTTCAACAACACCGCGAACAACGTAACTGCTGCAACTTCGTAATCCTGAACCTTTCCAAAGCACACTTTAGCGTAGGCTCATCATGGGAATTTCTTGCGAACATTCTATCCGAATATGCGCGACGGTAAGGCCAGATCCACATGCTGAAAAGGAGATGCCCTCAATCCGTGAAGCTCCGACCAATGTACGCGGCGCTAAGGCGAGAGTCACATTTTGAAAACCAGCCGCCCTCAATCCGTGAAGCTCTGGTAATAGTTTAAAACGAATGTGCGCGGCGGAAGGCGAGAGCCGCATTTTGAAAAGGAGATGCCCTCGACCCGTGAAACTCCTACACTTTCTCAAATCGGATGTGCGCGGCGCTAAGGCGAGACCCACATTTGAAAACCAGCGGCCCTCAATCCGTGAAGCTTTTGCAATGTGTTAAAACGAATGTGCGCGGCGCTAAGACGCGAGCCACATTTTGAAAAGCACCCGCCCTCCATCTGTGAAGCTGCTGCCAAATTGTAAGCTTCAGGGTCATAGCTGGTGAGGACGTCTCAGGCGAAACGCCCAGCCCGCCCTAAAAATTGGCCTCGGGGTGCGACAGGGAAGTTTTTATAAGGAAAAGGAATGGAGGAGGAGGAGGAGGAAGAGGAGGAGGAAGAGGAGGAGGAGGAGGAGGAGGAGGAGGAGGAGGAGGAGGAGGTGGAAGGAGGATAAGGAAGAGGAAGCGGAGGAGGAGGAGGAGGAGGAGGAGGAAGAGGAGGAGGAGGAGGAGGCAGAGGGAGGAGGAGGAGGAGGAGGAGGAGGAGGAGGAGGGAGGAGAGAGGAGGAGGAGGAGGAGGAGGAGGAGGGGAGTGGAGGAGGAGGAGGAGGAGGAGGGGGTAGGAGGAGAGGAGGAGGAGGAGGAGGAGAGGAGGAGGAGGAGGAGGAGAAGAGAAGAGAAAGCGGAGGCGGAGGCAGAGGGAGGAGGAGGAGGAGGAGGAGGAGGAGGAGGAGGAGGTGGAGGAAGAGGAAGAGGAAGAGGAAGCGGAGGCGGAGGCAGAGGAATGATGATGCTGATGATGATGATGATGAGGAGGAGGAGGAGGAGGAAGAGGAAGAACGAGGAAGCGGAGGTGGAGGCAGAGGGAGGAGGATGATGATGAGGAGGAGGAGGAGGAGGAGGTGGAGGAAGAGGAAGAGGAAGAGGAAGAGGAAGCGGAGGCGGAGGCAGAGGGATGATGCTGATGATGATGATGATGCTGATGATGAGGGATGAGGATGCAGGATGATGATGATGATGAGCTGATGATGATGATGATGATGATGATGAGGATATGATGATGATGATGATGATGATAGACGATGATGGGATGATGATGATGATGATGATGATGATGATGAGGAGGAGGAGGAGGAGGAGGAGGAGGAGGAGGAGGAGGAGGTGGAGGAAGAGGAAAAGGAAGCAGATGCGGAGGCGGAGGCGGAGGCAGAGGGAGGAGGATGAGGAGAAGCTGCGCATAAACTTTCGGACCTCCGCGCGGATTTCGTCGGTCGGTGCTGGGACCCCCCCGGGCGGCGCCTCCCTCCTCGCCAGGCACTCGGCGCGCCGGGGGGGGGGGTGGCCAGCGCCGACCCGAGGAATCCGCGGGGGGCTCTGGAAGTTTCTGCTTCTTTCATGCTCCTCCTATGCCCTGAGATCCGACGTCTTTTTGCTGTTGGTGGTGATGATGCTGGTGATGATGATGGTGATGATGATGATGATGATGCTGTTGTTGTTGTTGTTGCTGTTGTTGTTGTTGCTGTTGGTGTTGCTGTTCTTGCTGTTGTTGTTGTTGTTGTTGTTGTTGAACATTATTTATTCTAAAGAATAATTATTGTTGGGCCCCCTGGTGCGCGCCCCCCCTGCGCCGCCTAGGCCGCAGCTACATTTTCATCATTTTCGTGAGGAAGCCTCAGAAAAGAGGGTGTGTACAGGATCCGGTTGTTTTGTTGTAATCCGCTTTCCCTTGCAAAAAACAATAGAAAAAGACATTTCTTGTTCTAATATAATCAAATTTCAAGAATCCCTTACAAAAAATAAGGTAAAGTGGACATTCGCGCGCGCAAGACGAAATCCTTCCAAAACCTTAGTGTTCGCAGCGATTTTAACATAAAAACATAAAAAACCAATGGTTTTTCAACAAAAAAATGTCAAAATCTCATCCCGCGCGCTCTTGCGGATTCGTAGGAAAACCAACACTTTTTAAACATTTCTGTCAAACGGGCTTTTGCGAGCACCTTTTTCGAACTTCTGCGACAACGGTTGCGCACCTGCCAGGGCCATCATCCCTGTCAAATAATACCATGCGGGACATATTCGTTTTTTCTTCGCGCGCGCACGCCGTCGTCGTCGGCCGCGGGGCCCTGAATAGTAGCCACGGTCGTCCGCATGCCACGAAGTGAAGTGTCCGAACGTCATAGGGCGGGAATCTGGGTGTGGGTGGTGGCGAAGAGTCGTTTGGAAATTTGGTAGAGCTTGAACCGGCCCCCCCACAACGTGGGGGTATTGCCCGCCTCCTATGAAAACCCTGGCACTGGTGAGAACGGAGTGTCCCCACGTGCTAGTAATTGTTGTTGTTGTTGTTGTTGTAGAAATATTTACATATACGGAGCACCGGGTCCGGGGGCCGGGGGGGACCCCCGACCACAAAATGTGCACCACGGGGGGCCCGGAGGCTCGTCGGGGCTTGCCGGAGGCCTCCCCAGTCAGAGAAGACGGCCCAAGAAGCGCCCAAGACGGCCAAAGAAACTTCCAAGAGGCCTCCAAGAGGGCTCCGAGATGCTGAAGATGGCCTCCAGACGTCCAAGGACGCCCCCAAGAGGCCCCAAGAAGCCTCCAACATGCGTCCCAAGAGGGCCCCTAAACGCAAAAATTGGCCCATTCCCTTCGTAAAACGTACATTTTTCACAAAGTTGCCTTTTGGGCTTTCCGACGTTACAGGACGGCCCAAGAGGCGCCCAAGACCGCCCCAAGACGGCCCAAGAAGCTTCCAAGAGGGCCCCAGGACAGCCAAGAGGGCCCCAAGACGGCCAAGAGGCGCCCAAGATGGCCCAAGAGGGCCCCAAGACGGGCCAAGAGGGGGCCCAGGGGGGACACGCACCGCAAAGCTGAGGGCCTTTCCGCCCCAAAGGAGGCGCCAGGAGGCCCCAGGAGCCCCCTTATCAGAACGCCAGGACGACCCCAGGAAGCTCCAAGGACGCCCCCAAGACGCGCCCAGGCAGCTCCCACATGCGTCCCAAAGGGTTCCAGAGCAAAATTGGGCCCATTCCCTTCGTAAAAACGTAAATTTTCAAAACAAAGATCGCCTTTGGGCCTTTCGAGTAAGGACCGGCCCAAGGAGGCGCACAAGACCGCCCAAGAGGCCTTGGGGGGCCCAAGAAAAGAAGCTACCAATGAGGGCCCCAGGGGACCGCCCAAGAGGGCCCCAAGACGGCCCAAGAGGCGCCCAAGATGGCCCAAGAGGGCCCCAAGACGGGCCCAAGAGGGGGCCCAGAGGGGGACCACGAACCGCAAGCTCGAGCCTTCCGCCCCAAGAGGCCGCCAGGAGGCCCCCAGGAGGCCCTCAAGAGGCCCCAGGAGACCCCAGACGTCCAAGGACGCCCAAGACGCCCAAGAAGCTCCAACAATGCGGCCAAGCGGTCCCCTAGACGCAAGCTCGCGGCATTTTCCCTTCGTAAAACGTACATTTTCAACAAAGTTGACTTTTGGGCATTCCGACGTTACAGGACGGCCCAAGAGGCGCCCAAGACCGCCCCAAGACGGCCCAAGAAGCTTCCAAGAGGGCCCCAGGACAGCCCAAGAGGGCCCCAAGACGGCCCAAGAGGCGCCCAAGATGGCCCATGAGGGCCCCAAGACGGGCCCAAGAGGGGGCCCAGAGGGGGACCACGAACCGCAAGCTCGAGCCTTCCGCCCCAAGAGGCCGCCAGGAGGCCCCCAGGAGGCCCCTCAAGAGGCCCCAGGAGACCCCAGACGTCCAAGGACGCCCCCAAGACGCCCCAAGAAGCCTCCAACATGCGTCCCAAGAGGGCCCCCAGACGCAAAAGTTGGCCCATTCCCTTTGTAAAACGTACATGTTCAACAAAGTTGTCTTTTGGGTTTTCCGACGTTACAGGACGGCCCAAGAGGCGCCCAAGACCGCCCCAAGACGGCCCAAGAAGCTACCAAGAGGGCCCCAGGACAGCCCAAGAGGGCCCCAAGACGGCCCAAGAGGCGCCCAAGATGGCCCAAGAGGGCCCCAAGACGGGCCCAAGAGAGGGCCCAGAGGGGGACCACGAACCGCAAGCTCGAGCCTTCCGCCCCAAGAGGCCGCCAGGAGGCCCCCAGGAGGCCCCTCAAGAGGCCCCAGGAGACCCCAGACGTCCAAGGACGCCCCCACGACGCTTCGCGTCACCAATTTCTTCTCACAGCGATTCATGGGTCTGTGACTCGACAGA